TAATAATAATAATAATAATAATAATAATAATAATAATAATAATAATAATAATAATAATAATAATAATAATAATAATAATAATAATTGTGTGCCGCCAAGTCACTTCTGAGTTATGGCGACCCTTTTCAGGGGTTTCCAGGTAGAGAATATTCAGGAGTGATTTCAACCCTTCCCTTCCTCTGAGGGGGATCCCTGGGACTCCTCTTGTGCAGCCGGCCCAGGGCTACCCAGGATGGCTCTTCTCCTGCATCGGGCTCAAAATTCAGCTTTTCATGAAGCTGGGAAGTAACCTAAATTTGTGCCCCGTATTCTAAAGGAGAGGCGTGCATAGGCCCTTTTCGCATATTTTTCTAGGGGGAAAAAGTTCCTTAGATTGCGCAAGTCCCAGATTTAAAGATTTACTCACTTGAAGTTATTACAATGAAAAATCAGTCAGGCTTGGGAGTTTGGCTTGCGTCTGGATAATTCTCTGTGTTTGCCTTCAGGTCTTCAGTTAAACCATTTGCTAAAATCTAGATCAGAAAAAAAAACCATCCTTTTTTCACACATCTGAAGCAAGCAAGCAAACAAACAAACCATTCGTTGTCACTACAAAATTCCAGTAATAATAATTTTTAAATGGAGGAACAAGGAAAACAGAAGCACTAGCCTAAAAGTACAGTTAACAGGAAAATAATGATGAAGCAATAAATGGACAATACATTTGTTAGGGGAAATTAAATCCTAACATCAATTTTAAAAAATAAAACAAGGTGAGGGAAAGAAGGGGGGTTTGAAAGGAAAGCCTCCAAAAAGGAAAAGTTTCTCGCAGCTTCCGTCAATGTTCTTTCCTAGCAAAGAGACAAGGGTCCAGATGGGCTTTTCCGTGCTCATCGTCATTGATCAAGCAGACCCAGCCGCTCACGGCTGCAGTTTGCAGGGCTCCTAAAGTGTATATGGAGGAGCGAACACAAACAAACCCTCTAGTCAGAAATGTGTGTGAGAGAGGGAGAGGGAGAGAGAGAGATTGCCACGAGTAACCTCACAGTTTCCAAAACTGAACCCCAGCGCTGAAGATTGTTCTGGGCGTGGGTTGGAGGCGATGGGGATGATGGCAGCAGCAGCAGCAGAAGCCACTCTTCTGGGCTTGAGTCTCTTCTTCCTCTGGCAGGGAGACGGTGGGCACCTACGACAGCGTCAACGTGTTCCTGCCCAACGACGCTGCCCAGCTCTTCCAGGCAGAGGGGATCTTCCCGCGGCGAATGGGCATCAACTCCTGGATTGCCCACCGCACAATGCGGAACCATAAATGTGGCATCTTCCTCTTGTAAGTAAGGCTAGCAGCCTGGCAGATGTTGGGGGGCACACCTGCTCTTCCATTTGCTTTTAGCTCAAAACGGTGGCGCTTATCCTTCGGGAGTGCAGAAAGCCCCGTCTCTTGAGGGCTCCAGATCAGGGAACATTTTCTGCCAGATGAGCTCATGAAAAATGGGGGTAGGACCCCCCGACCCCCCCTTTTTTAGGTAGGGAGGCTGGAATCACAGTGATGGAATACCTGCTCTGGCTGCAGTAAGACCCCAGTTCAGTATCCCTTTTAAAACTGTGTGTTATTTTACTTTCCTTATCTATTATATCACATTGCCTGAAGCCTACCCTGTACCGGCCAATACCACCTGGTGAACCATCAGTAAGATTGCTTCAAAACCCATTCAGATGCTTGAAAACTAGAGCACACTTTAAAGTGTGGCTGAGAATCCTTTACAGCTCTTCCTGGACAAGGGTGACATTCTCTCCAGGCCACTTTCTGGTGGCTGCCAGGCAGAGGAGGGCTGAACCGGAGTCGCTGCCATGCCCAGGCATCCACCAAGACACGAGAAATGTGACCTTACCTCTTAGGGAGACCCTGGGAGGGGAAACAGTAGGGCTGAGCAAACACTGCAGGAGAATTTGGAGCCTCTGCCCACCCATCGCAACTGGGCAGCAGGGAATGCCCGGTGGTCGGGCTGGGCACAGGACAGGCCCTTCCTCGCTGGCACCTCCTTCGACAAGCTGCCCAATCAATGGAAGATCTGTCAGCTGAGGCCTTCAGCAAGATGCCTTCCCGTCAGGTGTCAGTCATCATTCCCAGCCACCATGGCCATTTGAGTTGGGGGTGATGGGAGCTGTAGTCTGATGCCTCTGGAAAGCAGCCAGTTGAGGAAGAGTGGCTCTCCTTGTTCGAACGGTGTGTGTGTGTGTGTGTCGGGGGGTGTAGTTTAAATGTTGGATCGAGGAAGTGGACCTTCAGTGCTTGTGCTTCTCCAGGGCCCTGGAAGGGGGTCAGATCCTGATGGCGTTATACGCAAATGTTCATGTCTCCTTCAACCAGGGAGGTTGGCAAATCTTTGAGTCTGAGACCCAATTCTGAGTCTTTGCTACCACGTCCTCAGTTCCAAGTCTCAGTCCCTGTTAAAAACAAGTCTCCAATGGAGTCTTGTGTGTCACTGTGGGAAACCAACCAACCACACAACACACACAAGCCAGGTTGAGCCTTAATTCTGACTTGACAGTGAGTCTCCCATCCAGAGTCCCTGCTCTTGCCTTCAAGGCCTTGTTCTTCATTCCATGCCAACATTCTGTTGGATCTCAGCCGTTCTTCCCCCAAAATCATCTCCACCCAAGAGTTCCCTCAAGGGGACATTGACTGTGGCCGGCCCACTGTGAGGAAAGAGAGGGAGAGAATGTGAAGAATTCCGTAGGAGCCTGCCCATCCTCTAAGATCAGGCCAGGAGGCCCTTCTGAAGGGGCCATCCCTGAAAGAGGTGAGGGGGGGTGGCCTGTCGAAATAGGGCCTTCTCGGCGGTTGCCCCCCCCGACTTTGGAATGCCCTCCCTAGAGAGATCCGCCTGGCTCCGACACTTTTGACTTTTTGGTGCCAGGCAAGGACCTTTCTGTTTAGCCAGCATTTTAATTAAACAGTATCCTTTAGCGGGACGGTATGAGCAGCATGATTTCTTAATGATGAATGGACTGTTTTAATATAGGGCATTATTATAATATTGCCTATTTTAATGGTTTTAATGTTTTAAAAGTTTTAATATTGTTGCATGCCGCTCAGAGACTACTGGTAATGGCATTGCTAAAAAGTCTTGTAAATAAAAAATAAATATATAAATATGCGGAGAACCAGGGTGTGCATGGGTGCTCATCGGGGGGGGGGCTAGACTGGAGAGGATGCAGGGGGGTCCCGGAGAGGAAGCCATGGCAGTGGGGAGGGAGTGGCCCCTTGGTGGGGGATTGTACCGCTGGCCAGAGTGCCGGTGTCAGGAGCTCCAGGTGGCTGGCGTGTTCCTCACTGGGGCTGGCGGTCTCACTGCGCAGGAACGGGGAGCAGTGGCGTTCGGACCGACTGGTGCTTAACAAGGAGGTGATCAGCCCCATTGGCACCCGCAAGTTCCTGCCTTTCCTCAACACAGTGGCGGAGGATTTTGTCGACTTCCTGCACCGGCAGGTCAGAAAGAACACCCGCCGCTCCCTGACTGTGGACCTTTACCGCGACCTTTTCCGTTTCACCTTGGAAGGTACAGTAATTCCTGCCCCATCGTGGACCTCTTTCCCCCTTCTGCAGTGCTGCCTTGCTCAGGTTTTCAGCTGCCCTCAGTCCAGCAAGCCTAAATGGGCAAACCAGGGCACCCCTTCCCAGTGCATCCCGTGGGCAGAAACAGAGGAGAGGAAAGCTTCACAATTAGAAGTGAAACTGCCTTAAGGAAGTGAGGGGCATCTGATTATCCCCCCCCCATTGTTTCTCAGCTTTGCAGGTTGCAAATTAGATTCGCTGACTGTTGATTGACCTTTGGGAAGTAAACAATGCGCTTTGTCTGTAATGCTAACTGGACACTTCTGAAGAATCCTTCTTTGGAGAGACACTGTTTTATCACTTTCTAATTCTGAAGCTTCCGTCCTGTGGTCTGTTCCCGCCTGTGCGGCACAAGAGAAAGGCAGGTACTGGCCCATTTAGAAACAAACAGCAAGAAACACCCAAGCCAAGCCTTAGGATAACCTCCAAAGGCAGGAGGATTCCATTGAATTCCTGGGATGCTTCTCTCTGCTGTTTAAGGTTTTCAGGGTTTTTTTAATTGTAGGTGAGGATGAGGATCGGAGGATATCTTTCACTTTGCATTTATACTTCAAAGGCAACAGGCCACCATTAGTGTCAACGGACACACAAGCGTATTGTTCCACTTGTTACAGGAGGGCTCTCTAATCAATACTTCAGATTCTTACTTTGAAAGTCCAACACCAAAGTAATGGCCATCCTCTTTTTTTCTTTGTTTCTTCTCTGACCTGTCCCCACTCCTCCCCCCCCACGCGCTCTGTCCAGGTAGACCTGTGGCCCCCACCATTAAAGCTCTGTGCATGGGGGGGTGGGAAAGTGGATGGTCCACTGCTAATGGTCCTACTGAGGCCAGGAAAATGGTCACGGTGGGGTGGGGGTGTCGGGGGGGTCTCGGCTTCCCTAAGAGAGGAAACTCCCTGGGTGATGGATACTTATCTCATCCTGGCCTGCTTCCCAGGTTCCTTGTGAGGGGAACGGAAGGAGAGCCATGTCTGCTGACTCAGGTTTTCCTGGAGGAAACGCAGGAAAGAAATGCAATTAAGAGGCTCTGTGCCAGGCCTTCAGACCGGCAGGACTAAAAGTTCTCTGTAAGCAGCTTTGGTCACCACTCAGTTTATTGTGCCAAACTGCCTATGACATAAACATTTTTTATTGTGTCTAATTTAATAATACGTTGTTATTGTTTAATATGTTCAACATTTGATATGCTTTTAATATTTGATATATTTTATATTTTACCACCAAACTGGATTTGCAGTCATTGATAAATATATTTTATTGGTGATTTTGTTTTTTGTTTTTTAAAGGAGAAAGTAGCCTCTGCAGGAACTCTTAAGGGGAGTTTAGCACCATGTGCTTGAAACAGAAATTCGTGGCTACAATTAAACAAAGAGCCACAAACAAGCAAACCAGCCTTGGAACAGCT